CTCCAATACAAAATAAAAGTTAAAAAAAAAAAGGGATTGTGATGCATTCTTGCCCTTCAGCACTTCACAGTCTTTTTAGACAATGTCTGCTTTATATAAAGTTATTTACCTATATATTCCTCTCTCCATCCTACACCCTCACTCCCAGTTATGAGTTCTAGAATGCCAAGAATCCTGTCTTGGTCATCCTTGGTTTCCTTTATAACACATAGCATGGTACATTTCTCTTGGTAGGTGTCCAATAGATTAGTATTGAATCAAAGAAATATTCTGTAGTGTGCTTTTTAAAATATCAAGGTGTACTAGTGGACTAACAGGCAAGATGCTTTTCCTTATAATGTGTCTCTTACATTTAACAGCAAGTTAAAATTAGATCCTTTCTTTTTTTTTTAAAGAAAGAAAACCATAGCAACTGTGATGTTGAATGTTTCAGAGAGCAAATTTTTAAGTATTCTCTTTTTCTGAATTGCCCATGTTTAAGCTGCTGATTTCAATCAAAATGCTAATAAATAATTTGTCATACTAACAGCCATGTAAACCACTGATTGTATCTATGAAGTGATAGAATCTCCCACATAAAACAGAATGCTTAATTAAATGCTCTCAGAAAAAATAAATGTGTTGAAAATCCACTGAATAAATTTTCAACAGTTACCCTCTGGAAATGATTGAACATTAACCTTTGTTTCTAGTACCTGTATTTATTATAAAACCTTCAAGATTGTTCTGTTTCATATCAATATTTGCTGTAGATTTTTTAAGACATGGCCTCTATGAGGAAATTTTGCAGTCTTCTAAATGAAAGAATGGGCATTTTTACAGAATGTTATCAGTGAATACTTCTTTGATATACATAATGATTATCTAATAGTTTTCTCTAAATGTATTTTTATTGAAGTAATGATTGAAATGTAACTCAGTGCCTTAGGAACACTGACTAATATCATGTTAATCAACTTGAGTACTAAAAAAAAATACTGAAGAGGTTGATAGTTTAAATCTAGTTAGTAGATGATTCACTTGAACTATCAAAGAAGAAAATGTACTTTACCCAGGACCAAATTTAAAACAAAACCAAACAAAATCTAGCAAAACCACCTCAGAAACAACTCTTAGAAAGTTAAACCAAACCTTTAAAAAAAAATCTAATTTATTTCCCTTAAAATTTTTAAGTTAGTCTTTGATTCACAGAATCCATACTGATCAACATCTGTTGAATGCCTGCTCTATGAAAAGCACTGAACTAATGTCAAGATAAGCATATTTCTATTTTTAGGGGGCTTGGTGGAAGTAATAAGTCATTCACATATAACCATAATGTAGAAAATAGGACTGTAAATGCTGTTGTTACTCTGAGGAGGGAGAGATGGAAAACTTCTGGCTAGGTTTGGACAGGTAGAATGAGACAAGAACAGGGAAATGGAGAATTCTTAGCAGACAGACTGAAAACAAGTATCTTTTTTGGAAGTAACAAGAAGTTCAGCTTGACTACAGAGCAGTTTGCAGAAGGTGTGCTAAATAAGTCTGGTAACACACATTGAGCTAGCTGGTAAAAGGCCTTAAATTCCAGATTATTTAAATGGTGTTGTATATTTAAAAAAAAAAAAAGCTCTAAGTGAACAGTTTCATAACACTTTTGTAGACATGCAACAATTTTTATAAAGAATCGGCTCTAAATCTGAAGCTGAAGTCACCTGATTTAGAACAACACTGAAAAATATTGGTTGGGTTTGGCCATACTTTTTCAACCTGTACATATAGGTCACTTTTAGACATTAGGATATTTATTCTTGGTTTTTGTGGGGACCTGAATTATGTGTTTCTTGGGCAAATTTGGGATATTTACTCTTCCAGATGTTTGAAAATGTCACAAATATTTTCCTTCTGATTGCTGTACATGCCATGTACATTTCTTCCTCCTCTGTTGTTGTTTGGGGCTTCCCTGGTGGCTCAGATGGTAAAGCATCTTCCTGCAGTGCAGGAGACCTGGGGTTCGATCCCTGGGTTGGGAAGATCCCCTGGAGAAGGAAATGGCAGCCCACTCCAGTACTCTTGCCTGGAAAATTCCATGGACGAAGGAGCCTGGTAGGCTACAGTGCATGGGGTCACAAAGAGTCGGACACGACTGAGTGACTTCACTTTCTTTTCTTTCTTTCTGTCTGTGGTTGTTGTAAAAAACTGCATTGAAGAACAAAACTGTGATCTTTATAGAGACATTTAAGGACCTATGAGGAAATACTCAGAAGCCTGTTTCTTGAAAAAACAATCAAACTTTCTTGCAAAGTAAAAAGTTGCATAGTTGGGTTGGCGATGCAGACAACTGACAGGAAGACTGGAGTAGGGGAATTTGAAGGAGAAGAGGTGGAGGGAGAGAGGGAAGGAGGGAGAAAGAGAGAACAGTTATCTTCTATAAGAAGTGGTTGTAAAGATAAGTTTATGTATTCAAGAGGTGAAATAAATGCAGAAGAGATGGGTAATGCTGCTGTAGACACTAAAAATTACTAGCCACAACCAACTACAGATAATCTCACATATTTTAGCTACTATGCTTGAAGTAGAGAGAGTTTAGAAAAGATACCCAGGAGATACTATGAACATTTTTAAATAGCTTAAAATTTGAAGTAGCCCATATTTCCTGTTTTTATATTTGAAGCTGATTGTAATAATGAATATGAATCAGAGAACCTTAAAATCAGGTATTTTGAGCTTTAAACAAGTTTTAAGGACATCACATCTCTTTTGCTTTGCAGATAGTACTGGACAAGAGAGGAACACAAATATAATTTCTATAGTATTGGTAAGAAACAAGCTGAGTTTGGAACTTAGCCACCTTGTGGTATATAAATCTTACTCAAATTTTTATAAAGCCCTTAAAAAATCATATAATGTATGTGTGGCATTGGAGTTTTGCTACTTCCATCTCTATAGCTCTACTACTGAAAGAAGCTTGTTGGTTCAGATGTATATCTTGAGTCTTCATCCACTGGAGATCTTAATTCAAGGACTGAAGCTAACTTTTCTCAAACCAAAGCATATGTGGCATAAAAGAGCAAATAAAGATAGAGTGATGGTAAAGAGTTTTTCCCTCACTACCCTGAGTAGCCACATTAGTGGTCCAAAAGATATACTGGATACCAGCAATGAAATCAAGAGAGGAAAAGAAAACAGGGCCTTTACTGAATGCAGTAACACTGTGATGATGGGTCGAAAGATGCCCAGGCATAACCATTTCCTTCGATACTGAGTATAACACAGACTGGTAAAATTTTTAATCTTTTAGGTGTTTTCTCCCACATAGACACAATGTACTAATACATCAGTACAAATCACTGGGGAAATATTTTTCTGCAAATTAACATTCAAATAGTGGGTTGAAATCCAATCTTTCCTATAAGATAATTTGGATCATCACAGTAGATGTTTTGATGTGTCCACATTTGACCTGAACCATTTCTGATGACCCAAGTTCAGTGTGGTAGGGAGGAGGAAAGTGCCTCAAAGGTTACAGTCATATATACAGTTTTGTATCTTCCTACACTTTTCCAAAAATTACTGTTATCAAAGTTCAGGATCATTTTAAAGGTTTTCTGGGGCATATCTGTCTTTCAAGCAAATAAATGAAAATAATCAACATCAATCAACATCTTATGATTAATAAAATCATAAGACTTGAGAAGCTAGTCAAGACTTTATCTTGAGTCAGGCAATGACCCTGTAGTAGTTGAAAAGAAGCAAGAATGTTAGCTTTTATTTCATTGTTATCTTATCATACTTGGCTCTTCTTTCTCACATTTTCTCTTCTCTTTGTGTTCTAAGTCTCCTATTAGGTATCCTAAACAACAGCATGCCTTAGAGGAAGTACTCCAGACCAGGAGTTAGTGACTGGAAGTCCCAAGAAGGAAATAGTGATCCAGGTTCTCCTAATGACCAACAGCATGACTCATATAAAGCAACTTAATATTTCTGTCCCTTAGTTTCCTTGAAAAATTTGTTCCTTATTCCTATTTATACTACAGAATTATTTCCAGAACAGGATACAATAGGTGAAAGAGTCTTAAAAATAGATACCAACCAAACTATACCATTACTAGTTTAACACATTTTATATTTTGAAACTAATCTAGAAGCAGAAATAGTATCAGACATCTTTGAATCAAATAACTGTTAGTTATATTTTTTGAACATCTGTAATTTAAGAAAATATCTCATCTTCATATATTATGATACTGATACCATTGCTACCAATATATGGATACAGTAGACTCAAGTTCAATCTGTGGCTCCTTTTAAAGAGAGGGTGAACGCCATGTTCTTCTGCTTTCAAGTCCGTGCCAAATAATAGTTACCTTTAAAGCTGTTTAAATTTGAGATTCCCATTAATAAGAGGAGAAACAAACTGAGGAAACATTGTGCTCATAACATTTCTGGAAGCCTTTCAGAGGAGGCAGCTGTGGTTTCTTTAGACTCCCAGTCTATTATGCAGGTTAGCAGTATATTTTATAATGAGTTCTAGACCACCTGCCTTTCTGAGGAAATTAAGATCAAGATAGATTTTTTTTTTAGGTCTTTTTTTCCCTCAGTGGTTATGTATAAGGTTTTCCTATTCAATGAGTTTGAGGACCCCATGAAAATATTCATTCAGTGTTGTTCAGCTATAGGTGATTATTTTTAAAGACATTGTCTAAATGTGTTTTCAACAAATTCTTGGGGAATTTTGAGACTGAAACATATACTTCTCTAGTAAAACAGTCAGCAGATGATGTCTATACAGTTTCAATTTAAGGTGATAAATACCTACAATGAATCAAGCAGCATCTTCAATGAATTTAACTATAGTCTGACTAAAACCACTGGAATTTCAAAATTTTGTTTTAATTATTTTTCTTATTCTCACCCCCTTACAGGTGTTTTAAGGGGCAATCATTGGATTCAGGAAGCAGTAGGAGCTTGGAGAATACAATAAATAGGGTCTTGTTCCAAAGATAAACACAAGCAACAAAATGTCCACTTTAGCAAACCCACCCAGCATCCTGAAAATGCCACAAGAGATTAAGAAAAGCTGTGGAGACAAACAGGTAGAAATCACAGTTGAAAGAATAAAAATGGCAAAGAGTCTCAAAGAAAAACAAAGCAATGATTTAGAGAAAGTGGCCTTTAAACGGAAGGCAGAAGGTGATGAAAAGCCAGCTGGAAAGAAAGAGGCAAAGATAATAGAACTTGACAGTCTGTTGATCACCATGCCCCTGCCTCATATCCCCTTAAAGAATATCATGGATGTGGAGGGGAAGTTGGTCTACGTTGATGAAGAGAACGTGAGCTATGAGTTTGTAGAGTGCGACCCGTCCACTGGGAATCAGCCAACATGCCAAGCTGCTGAAATAACGGACCCTTTGCGTGGACCTAACTTCAGCGTTCTGCCTCAGATTGACAAATGGCTTCAGGTAGCCTTAAAGGATGCCAGTTCTTGCTATAGACAGAAGAAATATGCCGTGGCAGCAGGACAGTTCAGAACAGCACTGGAGGTATGGGGTAAGAGAAAGCATAGATTGGTGACAGTAAGCTGTGAAAGGGAAAGTTGTGGTTACTGTGAGCCCCTCTGATCATACTGTAATGAAAATACAGTATGAAAATATTGAATATCAGGACTTTTCAGTCCTCAGTTCATACCAATACAATGTGCCTGAAAATTAATATGCCTGTGTGCACTTGACATAGAGAAATCAGCCCAAAAGCATATTTCATGCTTTTTCCCTAACTAACACTGTAGTGAAATGGTAACATATATTAAAATGCAGTTGGTTTTGCAATTTCAATGTACACCTATAAAAGCCTTAAAGTTTCAATACAGTAGTGGTGGGTAGAATATAGATTCCCTAGAAATAGGCAGTTAATGAGTATACATATTATCCCCTTTTGATATGTAGTCTTCATGATTAAACATAACCATCCTACTTTTAGCATGGGCTGATAATTTATACTGATAATACTGATTAAAAACAAAATAACACCATTTCACCTTACCATCAAACTTCACTTCCCTTCCCCTGCTAGTGAGCTTTATGAATAATTATTTTTCTCTCTGTAAGCAGGTAAGTTGATCAGTATTTTGGCATAAAGATTTAGCCCATGGGCTAAAATAGATGTAAGAATAAAACACAAAAAAAGGTCACAGGAAGAAATGCACCATCTCATGAATCACTGAACTTATAAAAGGACTAAAGTATGCAGCCAGAACTCCCATTGGCTTGGCGATATTGGTGACTGCATATTAATTAAAAAAATTTTTTTTCAATGCATTTTATATATGCCTGGTGGCCACTGGAGATATAAAAAATGAGTTGAGACATGGTAGCTTCCCTCTAACAGTCTGTGAGGGAGACAAACCAGTAAATAGCTAAATGGAAATGGTTTTAAGGCATGACTATTCCACCATGGAACCAGGGCCACGTGCAGGAGTCAAATGTGAGATTTTGTGATTAAGATTTAAAGAGTAAAGTGTTACTTCCACACTTAGTCAAAGGTTAAAAATGACTACATCTACAATGAGTTATTAATGAACAATACAAGAAAATGTGCCCCTAAATATTGAAAAAGAAAACCTAGGCACAAAAAAGAAGGCCCAAAGAGACATGAAGTGATGAGGTAGCATACAAACAGATGCATCTATAAATACTTCTGTCCTTATTAAGGGTCATTTACACAAGTGAATAGTAATACACTTTGTAAACTTCTGAACTATGTAAAAAGTGCCCCCAAATTATTTTTCAAAGCACTGAGAACCCTCTGCTGTTCTTTCAGCTAAAGAACAGAAGCTATTGACTGTGGAAAGAAAGCTAAGTGTAGACTTCAGGAAGGACCATGGGCACTTCTGCTAGGACTATTTTCAGCTGCAAATTTTTTAGGGGAAAGGACAGGGTTAAAGATGTAATTCTATTATTACAGGGTTAAAGGTGTAATTTTTTCCTTTCCAGATAGAGGAAAAGAATCATTTTGGCCATGGGGGGATAAAAGGCATAAAACAAGAAAGAACATAAACTTCAAATTAAATCTAGTTAGAGAAGCAAAAGGTATTTGCATTAACTAGAAGAAAATATCCATTTTTTCCATAAATCCCAGTGTTCAAAATTGTAAAATTTGAATCAGGTTTTAATGACCCCAAGATGTGTAATTGTACTGGAATATGCTTAAGTGTTTTGACTCTGTTGTGCACATCCTCTGTCTCTGCCTTTCCCTGTCTCTCTTTTCCCCCTCTACCTCCCCCTCTCTCAAGGGTTTTTAAGAAAGTGTTGGATGCTGACACTAATTACTGGTAATTAACAAAGGTAATTATTTTGAGACCAAAACTTAGCTTAGACATCTGGCCTAGCTTTTGTCTAATTATCCTGGGAGTTAACTTTTGAAATCTTACCTAGAATGTCTCTTAATAAACCAAAGTTACTAGGAATAGGAAAGATGTTTAACCTTTTCAACTCTCTTCTCCTGAATTTAACTTCTGTTGAATTTAGTTGCTTCCATACTGAGTGTTCTCAGGTATTACTTCATGCATCTGTTGCTTTTCCTTAGGTCCTACCATGACTGAGATAGGATGAATGACAGAGACCAAGGCATAATGATAAAGATCACACCTGAAAGATAGATGCATCAGTGAATATTTCAGTGTGTGAAGTCAGAATTACGTTTGGCTGCAAATGGCAAAAACCCAAAATACCTGTGTCAAAAGCAAGAGAGTTGTTTGTTTTCACATAAATGTTAGGTAGTCAAGGACTGGTACAGTATGGTCATCAGGTACTAGATTCTATTTTGTTCCTAAAGACATGGCTGTGACCTCAGAATCCAAAATGAAAGCTCCTGTTGGTTTTATCATGCCCACTTTCTAACCAGCCAGGAAAGGGCAAAAGGAAGGAAGGAGTCACATTGTGTCCTTCTAAGCAAACTTCAAGGGAAGTCGCACACACCATTTCCATTTTTTTATATTGACCCAAATTTGGTCATGTGGCTGCACAGACCTACAAGAAATGCTGAGAAGTACAGTTTAATTCCCAATGGCCCTAACATTCAGGGGTCCTATTACTGATAAAGAAGGGAAGACTGGACATGGCTATTGAAGGATAACTAGCAACTCTCCTGTGAGTGATTATTATATGGGGGGCGGGCACTGTGAGGTATACAAAATGCTTGGCAACTGAGTGGTACAAGTACAGAGTCAGGCTGTAGAAATACACAGAAGGCTGCTTGTGGTTAAAGGTAAGACCATGAAAAGAAAAAGTAAAAACTGGGGAAAGGCACTAGAAATTTATGACTATTAATAGACAGTAATTTCCAACTCATCTAATAAATCCATCAGGAATGTTCTACTTCTGTGTTAGTTTCTCTGTGCTCTTGACAAAGTCTTAACTCCTTTTGTTTTTATAACATGGTAACTAGACAAGTAAATTCGTGGCATTTTATAATGAATAAGACAAAATGATATGCAGTGATTCAGAAGATAACAGTTTAGCTTCCAAAAAGCAGCCAACTTTAATCTTTTAGGATTTCAGAACATAGGAGGCATTTATTTAAATGTGCTTGATGAAACTAATTCTGTGACTCTCAATCTTTGCTAAAATCAGTCATCATTTGCTCCTGTGTTTGAAATCACAGCAGAAAACACACCAGATAGGCAAAAGGTATAAACTGAAAGATTTTTAAAAAAGCATACATTCATGTGAAATCACAGTTTTATGCCTAGATGCTATTACCTATAATTTTTAAAGAACAACCATATAAATTCACCCTCTATTAAAATGTTACAGATTCTATTAAAAAATAAAGACATTGGCCTCATGGGCCAATGAGGCACATTAGGCAATACACACTATTTCCAATAAATTGCTTGTTGTTCAGTTGCTAAATTGTGTCCGACGCTTTGTGACCCCATAGACTGCAGCACTAAGCACAGCACACAGACTGCGCACACCAGGCTTTCCTATCCTTCACTATCTCCTGGGGTTTGCAAAAATTCATGTCCATTGAGTCGGGGATGTTATACAACCATCCAGTGAACTTCTTGGCCGTCAATAAAAAGTTAGAAGAGATTAATTCATAAACATTCTAGTCGAACTTTCATAGGGAAAGAATAATTATTAGCAAACACCTTAAGGGTTTTGCTAATAGGAAAACTTAAAGGTCTGGGAATGTACTAATCACATTTTTGTCATTTATAAGAAAAGCACTCAAATTACGAAGAAGTCTAATAATGTTGTGGCATGCAACCTAAACTATGCCATCATTTCAGCCATACTCATAGGATCTTAGTAACTCAGAGGCTTCCACCTTTTGAAGTAGAACAGACCTATACACACCCTTCAAGATACGCAGCTTCAAACAATCCCACTGAACCAACCAAAGAACATCGAGCACAATTTAATGATAATGAAGTCGCTCAGTCGTGTCCGACTCTTTGCGACCCCACGGACTGTAGCCTACCATGTTCCTCCATCCATGGGATTTACCAGGCAAGAATACTCTAGTGGGTTGCCATTTCCTTCTCCAGGAGATCTTCCCGACCCAGGGATCGAACCTGGGTCTCCTGCATTGTAGGCAGACGCTTTACCGTCTGAGCCACCAGGGAAACTCAGAGCACAACTTATCCCTCACCAAACGGAATTTTCATTTCCAATTTCATCATGCAGGAACTCCTTAAGGTGCTTTTTTCCTTCACATCTTGGTGCTCCAGTCACTGTTCTGTGAAGTTAGAGTAATAACTCACATTTATGGAGCTCTTTCCATGTGTCAGGTATTGTATTTTACATCCTGGGAGTATTTACATTCAATGTTACATTTTATTCTCACAATAAGCATATGAGATGAAACTATTATTCTTTTATGCTAATGAGGAAACTAAGGGATAGAAAGGTTAAATCACCTGCTCAAGGATCAACAGCTAGAAGTGGTAGTGCTAGGGACTGAACCAAGGCAATCTGATTCAGAGCTCACCACCTTAACCACTATGGTCCTGGTACACATAGCAGTTCAAGGAGATGAGATGAGAATCACACTCTGTGAGATGCTGACACTGCACAAATTTGCCATAAAATGAAAACTTTACAGTTTGGTCTCCAACTTAAAATGCTTTATGCTCCTTGCTAATTTCATAGGAGGGCTTCTCTGAGTAGCTCAGTTGGTAAAGAATCTGCCTGCAATGCAGGAGACCTTGGTTTGATTCCTGGGTCGGGAAGACCTGCTGGAGAAGAGATAGGCTACCCACTCCAATACTTTGGCCACCTGATGCAAAGAACTGACTCATTGGAAAAGACCCTGATGTTGGGAAAGATTGAAGGCAGGAGGAGAAGGTGATGACAGAGGATGAGATGGTTGGATGGCATCACCGACTCAATGGAGATGAGTCTGAGCAAGCTCTGGGAGTTGGTGATGGACAGGGAAACTTGGCGTGCTGCAGTTCATGGGGTCACAAAGAGTTGGACATGACTGAGTGACTGAACTGCACTGAATTTCATAGGAAAGAATTTCCTTTTAAGCATTT